CTTGGAGGAGAGACGAAACGTTTCATTAGAGAAGAACCCGTCCAGAAGACCTATACATTTTTTTTCTTTTTGATCTTATTTTGCTGCTATTGACACTTGTTTTAAGCTTCTGGTACCCCCAGGTGATGCCAATCAGGTGCCTGATATAAGATTTATTGTYAARAACCTTTGRTGCTAAGAAGCAATAAYCTACTAAACAMAAATGTCCTTACTTTTTGTTCAAATKTTATTTAAAATGGTCTGTCTGCATGTTGTATTCCCTGTCTCCACAAGGGGGCAGTGTAAACCAACACAGCWTGGTTTGACAGCAACATCCAGGCAAATCACAGCCTGCGTGTTGGTTTGGGGATGTCAGTCAGAACTTGTTTATTGTTTTGTAAAATACTGCAGGCAAATTTGGGCAAAAATATTTGTTAGTGTGTATATGTGTGTGTCTGTTAGCAAAAAAATATCATGAACCACTGTAGGAATCCAAATAAAGTTCGGAGAAAGTTCTTGATTATACATCTACAACTGATTAACTTTCAGAGTCGACGCAATTAAAGATGGCTGCCACAGCTATCTGACCGTAAATAAGGCAAAAACAGCTTTAAAGCATACATTTTACAGATGTTAACCTTGTAGTTGTAGCTGAGACTGATCCCCAACACATAGTCAAGCAATTTAAAATGTTGCCATTAGCTGTTTGCAGTTAGCGTTATCTGCCTGTTAGCAAAATATCTCCTGATCCACTGGACAGATTTTACACATGCTTTCAGGAAATAATCATTCGATGTGCTGCTARAACTGATTAACATTTAGAGTTAATCCAAATCAAGCTGACAAGCGCGGCTAATCAACATTAGCTAACACAGAAATGACTATAACTCGTTCAGTTTTATGGATATAGAGCTAAAATTAGTTGTTTTGGTAGCTGCTTTGGGTGTTTTATGTTCAGTGTTTGACCAAGATAGATACAATTTCAGCATTTCTCATCAATGGATGTGCATTTTGAACCTTAGATGACCTATTTCTTGGAAATATATTTTTAATTGGACTATTAGTTGTTATTTTTTTTGTGTGGGGTCGTGTATTTTCCTTACTTTTTTCCTGTAATTTAGTCGTCACCGAGCCTTTAAAGCGGGGGAGAAAGGGGAAATCTTGTTGTGCTGCGTCTGCCCGCAGGAAACTGTGGAAGCACCGAGCCGTTCCAGCTTCATAAATGTTTCATAACATAATGGCGCCCCATGAATATTGATGCCCAGCTACCACCCCTCTAGCCGCAGCGTTCCGCCGAGCTCAGCGCAAATGCAAACACGCAGCCTCGCCTCCGCTTCGTGTTTTAAAGCACGGTCCGAGCTGCGCGGGGGGTCGTCGTTTTACGTAAGGTTTAAAGGGATGCGTGTTGTCTGTGCCCAGATGCGGCACTGAAAAGTCAAAAGAGCGATGGAGGGTGGTGGTGTTATGTAATCACAGAGCGACGGTGCCAGGAAGGGATAACGATGTTCCAAGCAAACAGAACCCGCCCCGARCGCTCAGCTGGAGCAACGCTCTGCGTCATCGTACGTTTGTCTTTTGAGGCGGCCGAGGAAGGAGCGGCAGAGGTTTGCAGAGTGTGTCAATGTTTTTTTCTTTTTTCTTTTTTTGGGGTGTGTCTACAGGGCGAAGGGGAGCGGGTCGTCTCTGTGTCTGTGGTTCCAGGCTGTCCCTGTCTCAGGGGACCGTGCTCCTCCTYGCCTCTCCTCTGGATTCTGCCACTCCTGCCTCTCCTCCTGGGTCCAGCTCAACACCTGCTCCTCGCAGCAGCAGCAGTAATAGTAGTAGTTGGCACTGGGCTGGGCAGGAGTTTCTAAGCAACTGCAGGCTTGCTTTACAGGGGTGCAAAAACATTATAAAACACCTGAATCTGTAGTGTCTTCCTGTTCACTTGGTGCAGATTACCGCCCGGTGGTTTGGGTCAATGGTTAACATTTAGGTTAACATTTAGTGAACCGTTGCACAATCAGTTTGCTTTGCGATCAAGGTCTAAGCGAAAAGAAACCGCTCCGTTTTCTTGTCTGGGTTTTTATTTTATTTTATTCTGGGTTTTTTTTTATGTTAAAACTGGTAAGACTTTTTTCTTTTCTTTATTGGAAAAACAAACCAACCAGAGCAGAACCTTAAAAGATTCGGACGCCACAAAAGCTCGCCTCTGTAAATCAAACTTAAACAAATAAAAACAAAAAGAAATGATGGTGCCTTTACCCCGTGTGGTTAAGAGAATAATAATAACCCCCCTCCCCTCCACACACACATACCTCCTCCTCCCCACTCTGCCCATAAGCCGTATGTCCCTAATGGGGTCAGGCAGATGGGTGGGGACCACGCCGGGCTTCATTGAGACAGCYAGTGTGTAAATGTGCGCACGTGATCAGACACGTATGCTTGGTTTTGTTTGTTTTTAAATCCTGGTATCTTATATTTCAAGAATGTTCTTTTGATTCTTTATTCATGTTTTTAAAACTGTCTTTCTGTACCTCACATATAATAATAAAATAAAACCTCAGTGTTTTGCCGTTTCTGGATGTTGAACTCTGTTAATGATTGTTGTCTTTAGGGCTCTTTCGAAATCTGTAGTGATGATCAGTACCAGCAGTTAAAAAGTGCATGTATTTTTATCATTTTATGTTGCTTGATTTTCATTTTCTTTCTGAGGTTGAATATGATTCTGATGTAGCATTTTGCTTGTGGTGGAAATCTGTTTTTATTTTAGTTCTAATTTATTTAAACTGGGACAATTCATAAAAAAAGTGTTGGCAAACTGTCTAACTGTTTGACTTGTAGCCACCCCATGGACTTATTTAAATGACTTCTAGTCACTCCAAGGTCTATTAATCATTCAAGACTTTTTTTAGTAAAGTTTTGGAAAAAAAACAAATACTATACATACAACAAATAACACAGATCGCAAATAAAATTAAATGTAGCAGAAATAAGAAAAAAAAAATCTTAATATCTGCCCCCCTTTTCCCCCAAAATAAATTCAAACAATAATAATCTTCAAATAACAAGACAATAACAAACTTCAACTCCTTCCCAAACAACAGTCCTTATAAACACACATCATATAAATTCATATCTCTTTGACAAACGTAACTTTTATCATTCTCTTAAAATTTTTTATTGAGCAGCATTTTTATAATCACTTTCCAGATTATTCCACAGTCTTATTCCTTGGACTGAAAGTACACCAGTCCTTCAAATTTGTTCCTTCTAGCCACTCTGTGSACTTTGATCCATCCAGAAAACTTTAACCAACCCCCAAAAATAAAACTTTTAGCTGCACAAAGACCTGGCRCATTTCCTCTGTGGTGGAATCCATTCTGGGCRTGCTGCTGCTGCTCCGGCAGGTGATGCAGAACCACTCCGGTTTTTATTGAAGGAGGGTCTAATGGTACTTTCCTGCTTTGCAGTGTTTCAATGGACCAATTACAGTAATTCCCCTCTCGCCACTGTTACCTCCAAACTAAAAAACCAAACACACAAAAAAAGACGTAATGTGACGTGACATGAATGTATTTTGTAATTCAATGCATTACAGAAATGTAGTGAAGTAGAAAGTACAGATTCAGTAAAATGTAGTAGAGTAAAGCAGACAGGAAACAGAGAGGATTCCATGCAACCTTCAGGTGAAAATGAAGACCCCAAACCCAGACCCAAACCAGTGGTTATTCCGTATGTTGCGGGTGTTTCGGAGAAACTGAGACGTTTATTTTCTAAACATGATGTCCCAGTAGCTTTCAAACCCCAAAACACATTACGGCAAAGGCTGGTTCACCCCAAAGATCCGGTGCCCCGGCACAAACAGAGCAATATTGTATATGCTGTTAAGTGCCAGGAGGACTGCGACCAGTTATACATCGGGGAAACAAAGCAGCCACTGTTCAAAAGAATGTCCCAACACAGACGAGCTACATCTAATGGCCAGAACTCTGCAGTTTTCTCTCATTTACAGGCCAGCGGTCACTCTTTCAGAGATGAGGATGTTSTCATTCTTGATAGAGAGGAACGTTGGTTTGAGAGAGGAGTAAAAGAAGCCATTTTTTTGAAGAAAGACTGTCCATCATTAAACAGAGGTGGAGGCCTCCGTTTTCAGTTGTCCCCCTCCTACAGCGTGGCCATTGGCAGTATCACTCCACCCCGTTAACAATAGGTGTTAATTAGGTGTGAACGATAGCCATGTGATGTATCAGTCACATGGAGGCAGGACTTAAAAGCCTAAATTTTGCCTGAAACTCAGACTGAAGAAGTCTCTTGGAGGAGAGACGAAATGCTTCATTAGAGAAGAACCCGTCCAGAGGACCTATACAATTTTTTTCCTTTTGATTTTTTACCTGGATTACTGAGATGCATCGGGACGTAGTAGAGTAAAAGTCTAAGCTAGGCCTACCCATGTTAAAATCTTAAGTAAAGTACAGATACATGAAAAAATGTACTTAAGTACAGCAACAAAGTACTTTTACTTTGTTAACAACAGTCTGTAGTGTTGACCATCTGAGCAGTTTCAACCCTGTGGGTTTCTGCAGCAGTAAAGATGAGGGAGTTCAGAAACTTGTCTCCTCCGCCTGCTGGGAGGCGCGGAGGCTCCGCCCCCTTTATGAGCATCAGGGACACCTTCAGCACAACAAAGCATGCGTGGCTCCGGAACATTGTTTCCCGTCTGAGCGCGGCGCGCGGGATATTTGCGGGACTTGTGTTGGCTGTTTTTTTTGCGCCGTTTTCTTCTCCATTCATGCTAAAACCAGAGTAGGTAAGCCCGGTTTTATATCGCGTTAAGTCTGTCGGAGGGGGAGGGCTTGAGCGAGTGTTTGTTTTTGTTGTGCATTCGGCGCCATTTTCAGATCGCACAGATTGGTTAAATGCCCCGCTGGCACGCGCTGGCCGGATACAACCCACAACTATTGTAACGCTTTAATTAAGACAAAAAATAAGTTTAAAAACACGCTCTATCGTAACGCAACTTTCAAGCTGCTTATTGTCACAGCAGTGAAAATGATGCAACCTTCATACTTCATGTTTTTAATGTAGTTTCAAGTTGTTAAATAAAAGTAGTCCCCCGGACCTCGCGGAGGTAGCTGTTTGGTTTTATACGTGCGACTTATTTATGTAAAAAAAAATAAAATGAATGAATGAAGTCTGCTGAAACACTGATGAAATCAAACGCAGCTAGATATTTCATTTTATCACGTTTTATGTAATTACTGTTTTATTTTGAAAATGTATGTTTGGGTAATGTTTTTATTCTCCTGGCATTGTTTACCTAAACTGCTACAGATTTAATGATGTATGTGGCATAATTAATGAGATATTGTAGAATTTATTTATTTTTTTTGCTTTTAAGAAGTGGTTTGTTTATTATTATTGCCTTAATACAACTGACATGATCCTAAAACTAAATCTATTCCTTTTTTATTGTCTGTGTTGATACTTTGCAAAATGTGTGTGTGCTTAAAAACTTACATTTTTCCCTCTGCTGTTTGCGTTTAACTTTCTGCTTGACTTGCCTCGCTTTTGCCCCCTCGAGGAATCTATGGGTTAAAAATACCCATCTCTCCTGCTGAAAGGGCGGCATTTGTCAGTGTTTTTCTGTTTGTTTGTTTCCCGTACAGCCCCAAGAGCAACTCATCCAATAAGCCTCGTCTCCATCGATGATACGGCTGAATATATATATATAGTCGGATAATCTTTTGTGGAGGGCTGCAGATGTGACGTAGGGGAAGATGAGGCAGAGAGACGAGAGAAACCTGTGCAGGCAGCACAACCGCCACGTTCCTGCACGAGTGACAGGCGTAAACACTGGTTAAATTWAAAAAAATGACAGGGGTAACGGGAGCAATGTGCTCCAGGTCTGCTGTGCTGCTGAATCAGCGGCGCTGTAATCACATAGAGCTCAAGTGAGGTGATGTTGAAGGATGTTTTTACCTCTGCTGGGTGAGAGTGAGTTCACCGAGGTCCCAGAAGAGCTAGCTGGTGTAATCCTCTTTTGGGAGCTATGATGTGTTTGTACAGTTGGACTACTACTCTGTCATGTGAGCGTAACTAAAAAAAACAGACCGCACATTATTTACGTGAATATAGATTAGAGTTGCTTATACAAAAATAGATTTTACATCATGTTTTTTAGTCTAATATCAGATTTCGTAATTTATTTTAAGAATTCAAAAAAACATCAACTAGCATGAATGCATTAAAGCTTTTTTTTTCTGTGCATCATAAATTACGTTTTGAATGCAGATGCATTGTTCCTTCAGTGGGCTCTGGYTGAGATGATGCTCCAAATGGATGCAAAATTGCTTTCAGGGCAACCACAGTAGATCAATCATGCCTCTTCATTCTTTTCCCATGTCGCCTCATGTTACAGCATCAGGCTCACAGGCCATCTGTGCATATTGATTAGTTCAGGGCTGGACGCTCCCAAAGATCTGGGCTCGCAGGAACCTCTGTAGCTGACACACTTTTTGTTTTTGTGGTGTAAGATTTGTTTTTAAGTTTGAGACACTTTTTTTTTCCAAGCTCGAAGAGTATGATTGTGATGTCTCTGGGCAGGTTTGTGTTTTGATTGAACGTGCAGTTAAGTGTGGCACCTCTGTGTGTATTCATAATGTGAGCCACTACGWACCCAGAAAACTGTTTTGTTTTAGTTGCATCACTTAATGTTCAGCCARGTATCCAGGACGCCACACAAAACCATGAATCAGCACAGCGTATCACTACTAGTTTTTTCTTTCTCTCCCACTCGTACACACGTTCATAGAGACAGAGCAGCAGAGTGGACGGAGACAGTGAGGTGGATACTGTAGGCAGGTAGATGGAGATAATCTCACTTGTGGGCTGATTACCTCTAAACTCCTTCTAATTCCTTAAGCCTGCTCTCAGTGTCCAGGAAACACGCTTTCTTTATGTTCTCATATTGTTTTACTAAGATTTCCTTTCCAGTTATACTAGGCAAAGAAAAAGCAGTGCAATTAYTGAAACTGAACAAAAACACGCATTTTGTTTTTTCGGCTTTCTTAAAAAGGAATTTAGAAATGTTGTGGGGAACGTCGGCTTCTGCACACATGTTTGCACATGTGCATATGCGTGCAAACTGTGAACAAAAATAGATATGAGCCTGTCTGTAAAGGCCAATTAATGAGCCCCTGCATCTTGCGCACATGTGGCTATTTATACACCGAACCTCCTCCTGCTTCTCTCTGAGCTCTTCTTCCTTTCTTTTGATTCTGTTGTGAGACAGAAAAAAAAACCCCTCTGTGCTTTGGGATGAAATTAGATTCCAGAAATGGGGAAAAATCAGGAGACTGTTATTTTGCTCTAAATGGATGAAGAAATAGCATCTTTTTAAAACATTATTAAAACATTTTCAACATTTCTCCTAGGATTTGATTGAAACAGTTGCATAAATTCAAGTTAATTGATATACTTACTTAGATATCTTACAAAAAATAAAAATCTTTCCATTTGAAAGGTGAATTCTATTAATCAATACGAACTTTAAATGAAGCCCTACTGAACTCCAGTCCTGGTGTTTTTGCAGCTGATCCAGCAGCTCCCTGAGAGCTCAGAGGGTGGCCTATTTCATCTATAATTCAGCTCATTACAGACACTAATTGTGTGCTGCTGAGGTCAGATTAATCTTTAACATTATAGCATTGTTTAATGCAATAATTCTACTAGGGCTGCTACGATTAATCGACAACTAATCGATTATTAAAATAATCGATGACTAATTTATTAATCGATTAATCGTTTTCTTTTCTTTTTTTGTTCTTTACTTTGTTTTTCTCTCCAATCTGCTTTGACACCTTCCACTGCCACATCTGCCTTTCTGTCCTTGACACACATGCACAGTAGTGGTAACTGGGGTAGGCCATGGACGTCACAAGTTGGGCTGCACCGATTAGTTGAAATAATCGATGACGTCGATTATGTAAATTTGTCGATGCAGATTTTTTTTATTATCGACTCGCTGTATTACATAACCACCACGTGAATGTTCATGCAATTCCACTTCGCACCTAAAAGCATCATTGCAACTAGGGATGCACCGATACCAGATTTTTGAAAACCGAGTACAAGTACTTACATTAAAGTACTTGCCGATACCAAGTACCGATACAAGTACTAATAAATATCCTTAAAAATCCTTATAATTAACTTAAACTGTTTATTTTCATTAGGCACTTCAAACATAAACAAAGTACATTACTATTGGTTTAAAACCATTTTACTGTCATTTAACCATACTATGACAGCATGTACAAAAATAAATAAATAAACCTAATACACCTAAAAGAGACTTCCAGTTTATTTATTTTTTATTCCATTTTCATCGTAGATGTAAAGATTTTAATGATTGGCTCAAGTTATCTAAAATGTGTTACAGGGTCCTCACTGAATATTAGAACATTGTACCATCAACTATATAAATAAACTAAACTAAAACTTTGAAGTATGTTAAATTAATTGCAATTAAGTAATAAATGTTTAATTTGTAACATGTTGTAGCTTGGTCATAATGATTTTTCCTCCATCAGATTACTTGGCAAATAAACGCTTATAAAAATAAAAATTATTTTTAGGCAAATCAAGGCTTATATTATTGTTTTTAATCATTTTTATTTATTTAATTTACCTTGGATCCAGTACAGTTTAGATGCAGTAGAGGGTTTTTTTCTCAGCATCAGTGAAGCGCCTCTTGACAGCTGCAGCCAAAGTGGACTTCATTGTTTTGATCCTGTGATCTTCACCAGTGTCTTTGTTTAGGAGTCTCAGAAGCACGGTCACAGCAGGGATGACGTCTTACTACTGTCACCTGAAAATACCTCCACACCGCTGACATAACGCCTCCTCTACAAACTGCTTGCTTGTTAAAGTTTGTTCAGCTCGGCTAACGTGGTCGTCGTCTTCTTCTTCTGTTGTTTTTTTATGCGGCTGACATTAAGTCTGTTGCGCGATTCTGCCGCCTGCTGGTTTAGAGCGTCAATGCACAAACTGAGCGAAATGAAGCTGGTATCGGGTCCTGTAGTATCGGAGCACTTTTACAAGTACGAGTACGAGTTAACGCACATGGTATCGGACCGATACCCGATACTGGTTTCGGTATCGGTGCATCCCTAATTGCAACCGTATTGGCATAAGAGTGGTGAGTTTTTCATGCTTGTTCTGAAGGCAGAATGACATCAGCAGCTGCTGCTTCAGTTCAGTCTGAAGCTTGAAAACAAGCCTCGCAGCTCCTGGAGTAAAATTTACCAAACAGACCGCCTCTGAATTATCTGGTGGATTAATTATCTTGTGAACATGACGTTCGCTTGCTCAAAGTAAATAAAGTACCGCCACTTTCTTTATTTCATCCACCATTAAACAGAGAGCGGTGTTAGGTCGAGCCATGTTCCCCCATCAGACGGTTCCCCCAGTGTCTCAAACAACAGAGGAGCTTCCCAACACACGTCTGACCTAAAGAGCACAAGCAGCCAACAAGTGTTGGACGTGTTCTGGATGTTCAAAACGTAGCTTAAATACCTTTTATTTATTTTAACTGCATCCTCTTTTGTTTATTTGATTTAATCTTATTTGCCTTCCATGGACCTCCATCACACATTTTTCTAGCAGGGAAATGACATCAATAGAAACACGTGGAGCTGGATTTTAATTTGTGTAATAAGACAAAACAGTCTTGTTGTTTTCAACAGTTTTCACCTTAAAGAAAAAAGTTACACAACTGACGTTACAATACAAAGAGTTGGATGTTGT